AAGTAACCTTTTAAGGGATTATAATATTATTATAATGTATTCAGTAAATAATTTGGTAGAAAGTATAATAATATACCACAAGCAAATTCAAGAACTATCAAAATCGGTGGGTATTTTAGTTTTGCAAATCTTAACAACTTATGGCCCATTCAAAAGCGCAGTAACAGGCGTGTCAACTGCATTCTCCAAATTTGACACTCTTACTCAAGATATGTCTTTGTTGTAAATTTATGGGTCCTGGAATCCTGAGTACGACGTTTCCGAATATTATAGTGTATGCAGTATACATAGTATCGTATGTCTTTTTTAAATGTAAATTATATTATATTGTAATGTATTGCCATTCCGACCGGCGTTGTCCATGAGATTAGCTTGTGATTATGCGAGAGTGGTGCGTATACGTACCTAAGTGTATAATTTAACTCTAAAAGTCTAAAGTGTCAAATAATAAAAAAAATTGGTCCACTGAAATGATGGTTCGAACTCGATACATTCTGTACTAAAATACACTGGCTTATCGCATTAATAATAATAATATTATTAAAACCAATAGCAACCATTTATAAACAAATATTTCCATCGTAAATCTCAAAATCCCTGTTTGAGAACCTACCCTGGTTGGACCACTTGTTTACCTTTTTCACAACAGAATGTAGTAAATCTTCCTCCCCTAGGTCTGATCTATCTATATGTACCAAATTCTATAGCAATCGAAGGAATGGTTTAGAAATGCATAGAGGGCATATAAATATTTATATCTGCACACAACTGAAGCTATTGCACTCAGTGGCGTAAATAGTGTTTGAAATTGGGGGGGGGGGCTGTGGCTCAGGTCTATACTCTTATGATGCTTTTAAATTATAGTAGTGAAATCATTAGTTTTTGGGGGGCTACAGAAATTCTAAGAGGGGTCTGATCCCAAAGCCCCCCCCCCCTATGATTGCACTAATGTTGTTACAATAATAATAAATTATACCTGTCTGAAGTATACCAAAACCGGGCCTGGCCTTTATCCCTCTCGCCACAATAGTTGCACTGGAATGCTATGTCCGAGCCCAGAGGTGCGTCTACGATTCTCACTCGATCGTCGTTGCGTTCTCCCCGTGACTCGGCCCAAGGCCTGTCTGCGCACATTTCTAGTTGCTGACAATTGCCAGAATTGCAGTCCGGCCGAACGAACCCGACGATGATGGTGGCGGCAGCGGAGAGGAAGAGTAACGTTTCTTGGGCCATGTTGACGGCTAGGTGGTGGAGGCACCGAAGAATGACAATAATTTATATTTTGTTCCTTTCGCCTAACACAGAAAGCTATATAGTAATACTATAACGTAAATAAATATTATAAAGTAATACTATAACGAACAAACCGTATTATATGCAAACGTGGACATTACGACGACGTGATAGGTACGTTTTCTTGGCAACGGTCGTCGCGCGCGAACGTGATACGAATGCACCACGAGGAGTGTCATCATAATATGATATAATAATATAATATATACGAACCTTACCTTTTACGAACTCGTACCAAGTAATATTAATAATAATACTATTCGTTTCGGACCGGTACGTCTTTACAAAACAATAGAAGCGGTCGACGGCCTTCGATCTACATAGAAGTCAGACATAAGAAGAGTTAGGTATATAAGTGTATAACGCATAATCATAATTCTGTTACATACTATTATTGCTTGATAACATTATAGTGATAAAGGTATATTAAATGACCATACCTTTAACAACATATTATATACTATATAAATATGTATAATACGTATTATACATACATATACATCTATATATTATACGAGCTGAACCTGTGCACTTCGTTGCCCCTTAAATGTACCAACTCTATATATGACTCAAACTTTGTTCAAATCTTTATTTAATATTCGGTGTATTAATCTTAACTTTTCCTTTGCCCGGAATAAAAATTCTGATTCGCAGCAGTATATTATCAGGTAGGCAATCTACCTGCTGTAGATCGCGGACCCCTAGTTTGTACGTAAGTGTATAATTTAACCCTAAAGTATCAAAGTTATATCAAGTTTGTCGTATTCTACCTATGGTGGATTAATATAATCAATTAATACAAAATCCTAACCTAACCTTTTGTATTTTTGACATATAGATTTCCTACTTTTCCTGTTTATTTTCCTAAAATTTTGTTTCATAATAACCTTCTCCGTGATATACTCTTTCGTTAAAAAAAATCAGGAAGATCTGATAAGTAGTTCCAGAGTTGACTCTGTAAAATGATTTTCATTTCACATTTATGATCTATATAGTTAGAATATAATATAATATAATATAATATAATATATTGACAAAAAATAACAATACAAATCAACAAAGATGCCCGTAACCAATAGCAAGCAATATACAATACACTATTATTATTTTAATTCTCAACTTAATTTTTTATTATTATTATTATTATTATTTGTTATTTAGTGTGCACCTTAAGAGTCCATAACTCCAGAACCACTTATCGCACAGCATACAAACTTCACAAAAACCATCTATATATAAATCTTAATATGCCCTGAAATTTTTATCCAAATTGGTTTAGTGGATCTTGAGTTATAAAATGTATTTAAAATGTACACTTATTTTTATATATATTATATAGATATAAAAGAACTCGTCCTGATTGACTAATTCATTATCACCTACAGCCAAAACCACTAAAGCTGATTGTTTATGAAAACTGGCCAGTAGTTTTCTTATATGGTGCAGAGGCCCACTAAGAAATTTTTCAAAATTCTAATTTTAAAAAGGTCTTCAAACAGAGATTTTGAGATTCACAGTGGAAATTTAAATTTTTGTTGTTGCTTATAAATGGTTACTATTTGTTTTGTTACTCCTTGGGCAGATCAGGTACAAACACGTATCAAATCGTCGCGTTTACATAGCCTCAATTAAAGAAACTATATCTTAAAAGTTAAACCAAATGTATATATTAACTATGATTTATACACTCGAAAACTACTTGATTGATGTTGACGAAAATCTCAAATTTTGTTCTTAGAGATATCAGAAAAGTTTAGAGAGTAAGTAGTTTTTAATAAAACAAGGTGATCTAATAAGTAATAATAATATTAATAACGGTAATGATCTAAAGCCAATCTCTACCTGTCATATAACAATTAATAAAACAAAATTGTAACACAAAAAACTGGACACGCCCTGGTGAAGCCGGGTCAAAGCTAAGTGATATATTATAAAAATGGACATTTACGGCCGTTCACATTATCTATTAATCAATTTTTTATACAAAAAAAATATCATGTTGTACCGTGTTACATGCGTATAGGTTAACTTAACAGCTATAATTTATATTATGAATTTCAGGTTTAGTTATTTATACAAAATAACATAATCCAACAAAATAACAAAATATTATTAACTTAACTTTTTAACTTAAAGTTGTTGTCACTGAACACTTTAATTGTGGTTTAATTTTTTTATAAACAAAAATATAAAAATAATCTGTTTATTGCGCATATTATTATATATAGTATAAATATTATATATACGTTTAAACGCACTAATCTTAATCGTTTATGATAGAAATTTATCATCCGTCTTAATAAAATAAGTAGGTACCTTATTTTATAATATATGGTCGCCACACAATACGCATTATATCCTATATTATACCGATTATGGATATTGGGCATAGAAATAATGTTGCTTACTCGAACACAGTGGTTGCGGACCGGACGTCACATACACTCGTCGACAAGACAGAGGAAAATGTGAATTTTCGTCTAATTTAAAATCCTGAGAAACAATTATTAATGTGAAATAATACCTCACATGATTATTATGATTTATAATACACTGCATGTTTTGTAGTTCTCCATAGTATGCATTTCTGAACTTCTACAACACTTTTTTTTATTACATTTAATTAGATTAAATAATCAACTATATTACATGCGTATCCCTGCAGTTTACTAAACCATCAGCCATTATAGTGGCCACGAACTATTATAGCTAAATGAATTGTGTTGTACATCATTTTCCAACTATAATTATTTTTGTTATTTATAATTTATAAAATAATTGTACAATTAAAAGAAACATTTTTGTTTAATAATAATAATAATGGTACCTAGTACCTACCATTCGGTATAGTCCATACCCACATTAAATATGCACAAAGAAACATAATATATTGTTTATTTCATCTGATGAATTCCAAAGAATCGTGGGAATTGTTTATATTTGAGTTTAAATCACTGACGTATATCTAAAACAAATCTATGTGAACTAGGTATACGGAATAAAAGAATTTTACCAAGATAACAATCAGGGATGCCCTGTAATTTTGTTCACGTGTAGGTACTTATCGAAATGCAAATATCTGAACAAATGTATAGTGGGTACACTGGTACATATTTTATACTAATTTATTTTTATTTTCAAATTATTAACGTTTTATTTGTAGTGTTTTACATTAATGTTATTTACCTATCTTAAATGTAAGCTTTGGAAATTATTTGTACGAATGCATTAGATAAAATAGAGAAAAACAATTTATTATAGTTTTTATACATTTTTACTACCATATTATTCAGTTTTCACTTTCCGGTAGGTTAAATTAATCTTCTTAAAAACACTTAACACACAATTTGTAATAAATATCTACTGCAGCAATAATGAATTTTATTAAATGACTTCAATAATATAAATTATAATGTATAGGTATTGATACAAATATATGAACAAATTGTTATAAATTATTATGCACACCTGTAACTGTATAAATATACCATTTATTATACTATTATATTTACAAATAGGCAATAAATCATTAAGCTACTTAACTACACAATCATTGGTTAAAGGATCAAGTTGTTTATGACAACCTGAGTCCTGACCTAGTTCTAATGGGCATAACTGATGCTCGAGCTATAATAAATACTAATTATGCGTGAATGAAATGGGGGAAAATATTAATAAAAATTTGTGTATGTTTGTAGACTGACACAATGCGTATGTTTTGGACCATGAGCGATCGAGATCCGATCGACAGACAATATACTGATGCATTGAAATTAGGCAGCTCGTGGAAGGGTACTCAGAGTTTCCATCCGAGAGGTCGAAAGTTCAAACCGAACACGGATTACTACAAGCGATGGGACGTCACAATGGATAACGTAATCAAACGAACAAATTATAACTTAATCAAATATTGTATTCCGGACAAAATTGTGTGTAACTGTATTTTTGTTTTTTGTTTCACTAAATATTTTAGTTACGCATAAAAGACGACGTTGACACTCTGTACTGGTGCAAAATTTTCAGAGCCCCGAAGATTTTTAAGAAAAACCATATTGTTGGGGTGAGTTTATAATACTATAAAATTATACCAAAGTGGTACTATTTTACTTAGGGATAAAAATAATGGAATTACATTATTTTTCATTACACATTTACTATTTAGGCACTACACTACTTTCGTGTAACAAAAAAGCCTACGCGTTAGTTCTTTAAATTTTTTTATCAAACGTTATCTTTACATTTTCGTTATCTACTTGAAATAAATTCAAACGAAACACCTAACATAACTCGTTACTTTCGGTGCTTTATTGTACCCAACACCAAATTTTAATATATTATACAACAAACAATAATATTATATAATGTAACAGTGTTCTGAAATACGGTTTTTGCTCACTTCTGCAGTTCGTGCCTTTGCTGAACGACGACACCAAGCGACTTGTCCACCACATGATCCTCTACGAGTGCTACGGCGGCCCAGCCACAATGGAAAAGTATGTGACGCTAAAAGGAAATCAGTGCTATGGGCAGGACATGCCAGAAGACTGGAACAAGTGCGTGTCGCCGGTGGTCACGTGGGCGATGGGCTCGGACGGGCAATTTTTGCCAGATCACATTGGCGTGCCGATTGACGGTCGTGAAGTGTACTACATGTTGGAGGTACACTACGACAATCCCACGCTGAAAAAAGGTATAATAGCGCATTAATATTATATTATATTATTATTGTCCGTGTGTAAATCTCGAACGGTTTACTTGGGTTTACTTGGGTACAGGTGGATTTTCGTGTTCCGAAATCTTGCATATAGGTTGGTAGTTGGTAGGTTCCCAACCTTTTTTGACTCACGACACCCTTGGTAATTTTCTAAAAATCCGGCAGCATCCTATAGACTACTTCGTTATATAGGGTGCATGTATTTCAATAATAACTTCGTGAAATCTTAAATGAAGTTCGCGGCACCGAGTTGGGAGAACCTATGCTGTAGCAAAGGTGGGCAAGTTAATGAAAATAATTAACTGTGGCAAGTTAAGTTAATTAAATTAAATTACTTTTAGTTACGTTAAAAGTTAACAAAAAAAAAATGTAACTAGATAAGTTTAAAGTTAAGATAGAAAATAAAATTAACTTATCTCAGTTAAAAAAAAAAGTTTATTTTTTTACAAGTTACAATATTTTTAAGTCATAAACTGCCATAGTATTTTGTTGTACACAAACATTCACCAAGTCATTGAACATTGTGTAAAAAAATAGATATTTATAATATATAATTAAAAAATAAATGACCAAAATCGGAAAAGAGTCGACGAATCAGTATTGTCTAATTATATATTAATTAACTAATTAAGTTAAAAATAAAAATAAAATTAACTTTTTAACAATTTAATGCCCACCATTGTGTGGTAGGTATTGAACATAGACACGTACAGTGTACACATAGGTATTTTTTTCAGTAACATTCGTTTCAACTCGAAACCGCACACAAACTATGCTTAAAGGTTTTTAAAAGTAGTTATAATTATTTTGGAAAACTATTAAAAGCTAAACATAAATAATGAAATATAATATAATATTTAGATTCTATTATAGTCCTATATTGACTGAACCAAGATTTATATAGAATCTCAGAATTATGCACTATCGTTAATAGATGTTAAAGTGATAATCATCGCGTTTGACAAGATTTAGCATTCGTGTACCATGATTGTGTATTATTACTTATTCCACCATTGTAATGATAATATCTATGGTCGTCATTGTTATAATAATATAATTTGATATTTTAGTAATGGACAACTCAGGCGTTAGGGTGTATTATACGGAGTTTTTGCGTCCAAATGATGCGGGCATCATGGCCGTTGGTATGGCCGTGTCTCCGATGCACATCGTACCACCGAAGCAGCTTGCCTACAGGACGGCCAGTCTATGTGACAAAGATTGCACAAACGTCATATTCCCGGAAAGGGGCATAAAAATCACGTCCGTCCTTTTGCACGCCCACATGGCGTCCAGGCAGCTCAAACTCCGGCACGTCCGCCACGACCAGGAAATGGCTACCATCGCACAGGTATTTTATCATTATATAGTTTCGGTATTACCATTGATTATAGAATTTATAATCAATGTTATTACCATTCACTGTACTAGGTAGGTAACTATATACTATACAAATAGCAGAGATGCCTGGATCATAGGCGCACATTGGGTGTGAATTTAGGGGGTGCTGGGATAATTTATGGTTCACAGATCCGTGGGGGGCATTGCCCCCCACACCCCCCTAATCCTAATATTTCTGAATTGCATTAGATTTAATTTGTATAGTGTATACAATAATTTCTAAAGTGCAATGTATCAAATAGTCTGTATGATTGTAAAGAAGACGCTAGGTACACCCACATGTGTTGTCTCCGTATTACAGACGTAGGTACAACATAGGCAAAACTGTTTTGCACGGGTATAAAAAACATTCAGGATCTACTCTAAGCTAAGAAACTAAATGTTCACACTATAAAAATGAGAAAATTTACTCTGTAACTTTGTTTTTATATTTCCGATATCAAAACCAAAATAAAAGTTATTTAAGTTTGATAAACAAAAACAGGTGCTCTGCTGTACAGTAGGGTACAAGTGGGTCACTGTATAATCGATGGTATTAAATTTGAATTCAATGATATACTAACATCATTGTATAAGAAAAACGATTCTGAGCGGAGACGGTTAGTCAGCCTATGATATTACTAAGTATATTTGATGATACTAAGGTGAATAAAGCAATTTATATATAACCTATTTACGTAGAATCTTGTTTTAAATTTTCAATCATTAGCTATAAAAGTTGAACATTTTATAAATTTTTAACTATAAAATTATTATTAAATTTTAAATGTGATAAATTTTGTCAAAATTTGAATTTTAAATAATTATAAAAAAAAATTGTGCCTATGTATTTTTAATATTTTTCAAGTGTTATTGTAACAATATATCAGGAGTTTTGCATTGAATTTTCAAGCTTTTTTACCATACAAATACAATTTTATTGATATGAATAGAAAAAAAAAATTAAAAAAATTGAAAACTGAAAATGTCCGTAAATAGCTCAAAAAGAATCAAAATATTTTCAAAATTATATGGTGTATAGGAAATGCTAATATAAAAATTTAGTAAAATTTTCAAGTATCTACAGTCATTCGTTTTTTAATTACAACAAAATTAGAAAATCGTTACACGAGAAATCGAGTGAATATCAAATGTTGTAAAAATATGAATTTCAAACGTTCATAAAAATTTAATTTGAGATTCTTGTAGACATTTTTTTTTGATAAAGGTAGACAAACTTATGAGGAATCTTGCATTACATTTTCATATCTTAGATTTAAAAAGAAAAATTTATATGAATTTCTAACTCGAAATAATTTGCAAATTTTCGTCATTTTCACGTATTTTGTCAATATTTGGAATTTAAATGCTTATAACAAAAAACTGTGACTAAGGATTTTTAATATTTTTCATCTGTCTTTGAAATAATATATTAGGAGCCTTCTATTAAATGTTTAAGCTTTTATACCCAACAAATAAAATGTTATTGATACTTATAGAAAAAAAAAACTAAAAAAAATGGAAACTAAAAATGTCCGTAAAAAGCTCAAAATAACTCAAAATATTTAGAAAATTTTATCATGTATAGAAAATGGAAATATAAATAACCAGTGAAAATTTCATATATCTACGGTCATTTGTTTTAAAGTTACACCAAAAACCAAAATCAATTTTCTCGAAAACAGTTTTTCCTTAATTTTTCTTTTATTTTTCACGGCGCTTTTGAAAACTACTGTGAAATTTTTGCTTTTGACCCCCCCCCCCCAAAGTACCAACTAGATTCACTTTCCTATCAGAAAAGATACTGTTGAAGAAAATCCAAGCACTTTTACTGTCCTAAAAGATGATGACGGACAAAAAAAAATGAATTCGTGAATTCGTAAACAGTTGTCAATATTTGTAATGAAAAGAAAAATTCCGAACCAATAAACCACGATAGTTTATAAATGATTGGTGAAATACTGAAATAAACTGAGGGTGCTAGTTTGAAGCTTGGGGGTGCTTAGCACCCCCAATCACCCCCCTATGTGCGCCTATGGCCTGGATAGTGGATATCAGGATTCCAACCAGAACAGTAACATAATATATTATAATACTTAGTATACTTGAAAACCAATTGTAATTATTTTAAAAAATGAACAATGGTCGTAATCCATTAAACTTTATTCATTAATGTTAAGTATAATAATTTCATAATTTATTATTGGTTTGCCTTTAACACTTATTATAACTTTTTTGTTAGAGATTGGTAAAATAATTTTCTATTAGATGCGATGTTATACCTACCGTCCTATCTTATGAGTTATGTTATATAAAATTATTACTATGCTATTTGAGAATATTGTCCTGGTTTTCGTTAACTTTTTTGCGCGCGTTTACAATAATATGTCAATATATATTATAATTAAATTAATACTAGGTATACATTATTTTATATAAAGGACGACCGTTACGACTACGATTATCAGCAAGCCAGAGAACTTTCTAAAGAAGTGACTGTGTTTCCAGGTGACGAACTAATCACAGAATGCGTCTATAACACAGTTGGTCGCCTGCAACTAACGCACGTGAGTAATGAGTATAATATTATTAATTATTAATTATTAGGTATTCAATACCTTATAATGGCTACCCGACATTCAGATAACGTATATGCTACAGTATTGTTTATCGGCAGTACAGCTTTCAGCTGTGGTGCATAAATAAAAACAATTAAAATTTTCTATAAATTGGCACTCAAGAGACCCAACCTAAGTCAGACTTCGGTCACTTTACTCTGTGCGTCATGTCATTACAATTGTACTAAAATGTTTATGGTTTTACAGGGTGGTTATTCGACCAAACAAGAGATGTGCTTGGCGTTTGTCACGTACTACCCGCGTACTCCACTGGCAAGCTGTTTCAGCATGACACCGGTACCGTTCTTCTTCGAAACGTTTGGCGTCCAACAGTTCTTGGACTACAACATGGAGGGAGTGGAGAAAATATTCTTGAAACTGGCCGAAAGCACGTAAGCGGGATTCACTTACCATACATAATATTTTAAGCTTCTCGTCGTTTCCTGTTGCAATTGAGGACATCTGGCATACTAATATAAAAAAACTGTGTTATAGATTATTTTTTTCATTTTGCTACATCAGCGGATATGTTCAGAGGGAGTGGGAAATTATAGTTTATAATAATTCCCTGCTTGATATAATTTTTTAATTTTTTAATTTTTATTAATTAACCCTCGCAATTTAGGCCATTGGGTGGTTTTTTTTTAAACTTTGGGGAGGGTACTGTGAGTTAAACACGTGTTAGTAGTTTGGCAGATTTTTTTGTGGGCACCCGTAAGTAGCTGCCATGCCCGGGTGGCAGATGGCGGCACTTCTCTCCGCACACCGTGACTTTCCCGAAGAAAAATGAGGACAGCAGCCGACGCCTTAGTGCGCTCTGCCACTTCGTACCCCTGAAATAATTTTAAGGTGTATTATAGCCTATAGGATTGTTTGGCCACAACATTTTATAACATCACAATTTCCCCTACACACAAGACCCCACGTACGTCACTGTCGGTGACATAAAAATAACAATATACAATGTCGAGTAACCTTATTATTTTCTGTCCAGGACTAAAAATCCACCTTCTCAGACGACTACGACCACGACAACGTCGATGCCGGCGTTAAATAACGCGAAAATGTTGGACGAACTCAACCAGGCGCACATTGCGTATCTGATGAAACCACCGTCATTTACGATCGACGATAGCAAGGAACAAAATCTATTCAGGGATTTGGAAATCATGGAACCCGTCGAATTCCAGAACAAAACGTTCCAACAGCATTTGGAAAACTTGCCGTGGGAAGACAGCCTGTTGACAAAAACCATCGAAAGGCGACTGATCAATGGCAAGCACATGACGTTCTGTCGGCTACATAACGACACGTTGGCCTTGGTAGGTTTCGTTTGGACGGCTGCTTTTGTGGTGTTCTGTCTATATTTACAGTTTGTTTGTACCTACCTGTCAGCAAAAAATAAAGAAATAACCTTGGTTTGGCTAAGTACCTACCTACCTACATTGTTATTATATAGGTATTATATCCTATCTCTCGAGTCTGGTCTGGCCGGTCTGGAAAACTTAAACTAGTGCAGTCGCGCATGTCACATGATAAAATATATTATACGATGGCCAGTCGTAGGTAATTGAATAAGGGAGGGGAGATGAGTACCTTTTAAAAAATAAATATATTTCAGCGTAGGTATCTAGCATTTCTTATTAATAAATAATAAGATATTTGAATCTTCAGGTACCTAAGAACATTTTTTTACACTGTTCAACCCCCCCCTCTTTATATTTCTTTTTCAAGCACTGGTGATAGAACAGTCAGCTATTATCTTCTGCCCACTAAGTATGACATGTCCGTGATATGCATGTATTATCTTAGCCACTGTCCACGACACACGAGTATAGAGTACTACCTATAATACAGTAGTCACTCGATAATTCGAAAAACTCCATAAATCGAACTAAATGCTGAGTCCCCTGAGAAAACCTCTATAGTTAGAAGAAAATACATGTATTTCGGTCCCCTCGATAATTCGAAATGTCTGTCGGTAGGACACACTCTAAAATTTGAATTTTTTCGCGAACCTCTATAATTCGAATCTCCTTAAACGCGATTATATGTAAGTTCATATGTATGTACATATAAAGTTTATGTACAATTTATTTGACGTACCTACTCATAATGAAACTAATAACGATGGTGGGTAAATATTATAGTAGCTTATAAATGTTATCATACCTTACCTACATAAACTTAACTTTAATATGTATGTATAGTAAATAAATGTCAAAATAAATGTAATATACACATACAATTGTTCACCTCTCTTTAATTCGAATTAATTTGTTTACCCTCGATTATTCGAACACTCGGTAAATCGAAAATCTCTATAAATCAAATTTTTAACTCGTTCCCCTGAACTTCAAATTATCGAGTGACTACTGTATTCCATCATAAAATGTTTTAATAGATCACGACTCACGCTAGTCTTAGAATTATATTTCATATTAATTATAATCATAATATTATATTGTTACCTAACTAATAAATAATGATACTCGTATTGAAATCATTATTTAATTTCACGTAGGTATGTGAATTAGATTAAAAATCCCAAAGTATAAAATAATATACTCCCAAATAAACCACTGAGAAATTTTGAAAATGTACTTTTCTAATTTCGGTATGTGTTTACTATTATTTTATTTATTTAGTGAATAGTGATCTAGAATCTAGATACATTTTTATTTTTACGTAAACGATCTAGGTAGGTTGTTGGTAGGTTGTAGGTAGGTTTCTATATAAAACTTATTATAATGAACACTTTCAAACAAAAACTGTTCAGACAAATGAAAAAAAAAAAACATTGTTGTAAAACAAATAAAAATTAATAGTACCTTTTATGACGTGATGCACTTATTGGCTTCTGGTACTGATTTGTTATTTTAATTATTTACAGATGATGAATACGTACTTGTTTCCAAACTTCACGGCTTACACTGAGCCGAAGACCTCAAATGTTGCATGCGTGCCGTTATCGAACAAATTCGAAAACTCTGCCTTGACAGTACAAAGTTCCTACGTATTGATTTCATTAAGTATCGCACTGATTTATATGTATTAGGAACAAAAATAATAATAATTATTATTATTTTACCTATACCTATATAAACCTCTCACACACGTTGTGGTCCAGCTCATAGATTTAAGTACATTTTACCAAAGTCACATTTTTATTTATATTTTGTAATTTTTTTTTAATAAACGTATCATTTTGAATTTTGTAAATAACATTATGTTAATTTGTCGATACAATGGTTTCCACAACTCCTAATCCATTCAATTTACAAGCTAATACACTAATACATCGTACCATTGAGATACATTATTGCGTTAGTACAATAGAACCTAATCAATAATAATACGATTCCCAGACTTAATTATACAAACTCTTCTTGACATAGCCATTTTTAAGATATAAGAATAAGAATTATTTATTTACTTCATATTATAATTTAGAATCTGAAAAAAAATACAAAGTTATTTTATAAATAATAAATATACAATGCGTAAAATAGAAAAAAATCATAAAATCTATGATTATAATATTTTGTTATTCATTAAAAGTATTTTATCAGGTCTTTATGTAACTATAAGCATAAACATTATCATGATAACAAACGAAATATCAACCATAACAAAATAGAGCTACTGATTTAATACGAACTAAACATAGTTAAAACAGTTACGCTGCCCAGTGCCCATAGTAACAAGATTTTTATAGTTTTTTTTTAAAACCTGTCAGTGGGTCCATTATCTTTTTGAAAGAATAAATAAAAAAAAACTTGTGTGTGTTTTTAGTACGCTCGAAGGAACTGAAACTTCTTTCGTAGTTGTTGTATGAGTTGTGTGTAATGAAACCTTAAATCGCATATTTATACGATTTCGGTGGTGTGTACCATTTTTCCATTAATAATTATGTATGTATACGTAATCAATTATGTATCTATTCATTATGTATCATTGTTCGAAAGTAATTTATTCAAAGAAAATATTTGATTATTTATTATTTTGTAGAAAACTATAACATTATTTGTTAAATAATAAAATAACAAATAACAATAGTAAGTAGCAATAATAGTCTCTACTAAAACCTTTAGGCTTGTGGTTGTTAACAACACATTTAGAGAGCGTTACCCCAGCACCCATACTTCCAAAATCATAAATTGTAATCAAGCAGTATTATGTACTTTATTTTGTATAATTTTGAACAACCCTCGAACCCACCCAAAAACCAATTTTATCTTACGAGTGCTGCAGTAACGTCACCCAAGCACCCGGATCAGTTATCTTTCAAAAAATTGAAAATTCAACTTTTAACCGTACAGTATTATGTACTTTATTTTGTACAATTTTGTACAATTCTCAAACCAGTGGAGGCTCATTGTTTCATAGAAGGTGGAGCTCAAAATTAAAATATTTCATCTTACTCAATTTTCATAATTTATCACCTCTAACTTCTGTTGGTTTTTAATTTAACTCAAGTCTTGTATTATGTACTAAATTATCATCCGTTTTTATGATTTAAGAATAAAATGTACCAATTTATGAGTCTGAAAACAATGACATATTATTCCAAATCTTTGAAAAACCATGGTTTTATTCAGGGCCTAAAATACATCAGATTTCAGGCTACTCACTTATCAATTTAACTGTTACCTTTGTGCTTAACTAATTTCTAAAGCAAAAAAAAACCTCTGGTTGTTGTAACACCCATAATCCCCCTACTTTTATCTATCACTTACCTTACACATTAATATTTGATACATATTTGTCATTCAGGGGAGACATTTTGATTTTTAAGTTACACAAAGTGTGTTAGGGGACACAGTATTTTAGCATCTGGTTTTATTACATAGCAAACCTATAAGCAAACCTTAATTGGTAGGTAGGAATAGCTGTAGTTGATTAATGTAGAATTCAAAAAGAATCAACAGGAAATATTAGGTAGGTAGATACTCAGATATCAAGTTATAAAATAATGTAAATTATATTACTTAGGTTCATTATTTTACAATAGTTAAATTAATAATTTTTATTACATTTTTTTACATATTTTGTTAACGTATGATTTATTTTCTTATGAGAATAATAAAAATAAACATAGTGTTACATATTTTGTCATATTTGATAAAAATATAGTCATGGATTCATATAACACTATAAAAAAAACTAAGTTAATAAAAAAGTTTATAACCTATTAAGAGAAAAAGTAGCAATTAAAGCCACACAACGATCAACTTTCAACTACTTATCGTAATACAACATGTACTGACACGATGAGTAATAAACGATATTAAAAAAAACTTCCGGGCCCGTATAATTGTCGGATCATTATGACTGTTTTTTATTTGAAAGAAGAGGACTTTCTACAGGCCACACTGATCCCTGATTTTTTATTTACCTTTTTCAAATAGGTACCTAATGGAATACAATAATTTGTAAATAGAGCTTAACATTTCTTGTGGGTTGTACAATATTTCCTATTTCTATTAATTTAATAATAAAAAATAATCGAATTTGGTTGATTCTGCAGGACAGGATTATTTATTATTCTAGTAGAGTGTATTTTTGAAGACAAAATAATTACATTATTCTAGAAATTATAGTAATCAATAATAATAATAATAATCTACATATATATTATAATATAGGTATTAGGTACTAATGTGCTATTATAAAAAAATACTTTTATAATTGTTCTCAAAGGTTACACACCACCCTTATGTATGCCTTAACCGTGCGAAACTAAATTAAATTTTAAAATTTGTATCCATTATTAATTATGCTTGGATATTGTATCTAATTTAAAACTAACTTAAGCTAAATGCACAAATAAAAATCAATTAAATATAAAAATATTTTTAAAATAGTAATAGGTAGATATATACTCTACACAAGTGAAGCATTTTAAAAACATTACCTTAGGCGTGAATGGAGGGAGATCAGGTATGGAGGTTTCAGCAACCCTGACTCCAAATTAGCACGCTCAATAATCTAAGCCATAATTCTTAATTTTAACATAGATATTAAATTTTAATATTGTGTTTTCCAATCGTTCAAATTTATTATTTCAAAATTTATATTTTTAAATATGTTATTTTAGATTTGTAGAATAGTTTGGTAATAATAATAAAAAATACAACAGTTCAATAGTATATTATGCTTGAAAAATGTAAAATACAAATCCCATACTAAAAGAAGACTTCCCTAGTTTGTATGAATTACTCAAATTTGGTCTCTCAATTTTGGTATGTTCTCTAATCTCGATGTGAGCTCAGTTATTCGTATAAGTACGCAGCTAAAAATATGCCAAAAAAGTAAATACTTACATTAAAATGTATTATACTATTGATACAAAATAAATATTTTATCTAATTTAAACATTTTTAAAAAGTGCTCAGTATGATAAAATATTGGTTAGTTGGATGTCTTTAACCTATTAGTCAGAAAAAATATTGCTCCTCCTGAAATTTAGATCTAGTTGAACCTATCACAGCACTATTATACCTAATGCCAGTGGCGTAGCCAGGGGGTGGTTTTAGGGGTTCAAACCCCCCCCTTGGCCTTAAAAATGTTTTTATTGTATGATTTTAATACTTTTATTTTTATTATTATTTAATATTATTTTAGTATTTTCTATGTACGGCTGTGGGACGCTATTCGGTGATCGTCGCGTGCTTATCGCACCGACGACCGAACGATCCCACATCTACTCAGAATTATATAAACATATGTATATGTCTATGGCGTGTATGTATGACCCGACGACAGCGACGGCTAATATTGTTCTATTTATACTTTTATCAATTATTCTTTTATACCATATACTATCGTGCTGCTGAGAGACTGAGTCTTGATTATATTCTACTGTGATAGTATACGAAACTGTACTGGTACCATACAAAAAGTATGTGTTTTTTAAATACCCTAAACGACAAAATGTAATGTTGGATTCAATTAAACGTGTATGTCCTGAATCACAGATTACTAAACTAAAATTACTTTGTCCAACAAGATGGGTCGATCGGCATGACTCCATAATTACTTTTATGGAATTATTTGATGCAGTTATTGATGGATTATCAATTATTTCTACATGGCCAGACAGAGAATCGTCATCAGGGGCTTATCAACTTTTGTGTGCTATTAAGCAACCTGAATTTATTTTGACAACACATCTGCTAGCAAAAGTATTTAACATAAGTTTAGCTCTTAGTAAACTTCTTCAAATGCAAAATATTGATTTGATTGAAGCCATGTCTCTGGCAGATAATGTATCTGATGTGTTAAAAAATATCAGAAATAATGCAGATGAGGATTTTAAGGAACTATTTTTGAAAGTGAAAGAAAAATGTATGTCACTTGATATTGAAATAACTTTACCTCGTTTAACAAACATACAAAAAAATCGGTTTAATGTAAAAACTACCTACTTGTCCAAATGAATACTATAAAATATCATTGTTTATTCCATTTTTAGATAATTTTATTAGTCAACTTCATGATAGGTTCATTGCACATAAATCTCTAATTACCAATTTTTGCTGTCTCTTACCAAACAATAATTTGCCAAATAGAGAAGAAAACATAAAAAGTTCGGCAGAAAAGTATAGTGAAGATCTTCAATGTAGTTCAGATTCAGTAATTGGAAAAGTATTGACATGGACACAAAAATTTGTTGGAACAGAAAAACCAAAAAATGCATTAGAAGCTCTTATAGCATGTAACCCACTCATTTTTCCATCTACTTATAAACTTCTCCAAATAATAGCTACACTTCCCGTAACTACAGCAAGCAGTGAAAGGTCATTTTCTACGTTAAAAAGACTTAAGACATACTTTAGAAATACTATTGGAGAAAACAGATTAAATAGTTTAGCACTACTAAATATTCATCGTGAAATTATTTTAACAACAGATGAAGTTCTTAATGACTTTGCAAAAGACTCAAGAAAAATAAGATTGCTATAGCTTGTAATTTATAATGTGAAAAAATATATTAACTTTAATATAAATATTAAAATTAAAATTTTTTTTTATTTTCTATTTTTACTTGTTTAT